AGAAATACCAAACTGGCCTCTTGAATCCCCTGCAGCCATCATTAGGTCGTTCCACATCACACGAGTCACAGCTTGCGCCAAGGGCTGAGGGTCATGAACAGCAGTCTTCAGCACTTCTCAGGTAGTTAAGGAAACTAAGTCATGCTCTTTGCTTGTGTATCGTCATGAAGTTTTGTTCACTGTTAGAAGATAGCTTAGATATGTTTCATAGTGATTGTGGTGCTGTAGACTATTTTGTCAAATGCTGTTTGTTAATCTTATATCTCAAGTATTCCTTCAAAACGGTGATACCAGGGGGTCAGTGCTGATTATTAGTGGATTTATATAAAGTACTGATTGCATGATTTAGAAACTGCAGATATGTGCATGTATTGTAGTTAAATTGATGCCAGACCTATGATTAGTTTTTATGCCACAGTGCAGTGTATTTTTATTGTCGTGTATTGATATGAGTATCTTTTAGGTAATTTTTTACAATACCTTCAGAATAATATTCATTATTATTTTTTTTTTATACAATGTAGGTATGTATATACAAAAATACACACACAAAATATTATATATTTTATTATATTATATTGTGTACATTACATTATATAGATTATATACTTATATTATATTTATCATATAACATTAATTTAATCAAGATATAGACAGTTATTTGGATAATTACAACTAATTAGTTGATAGTGAAGCAGCAAGAAGTGATTACAATAAGGTTTGTATTACCATGCATTCAGCTTTTACTGCAGCAAATTGCAATATTCATGCAATTAAACCGTATTATATTGCATATTGGTAGCCACATCATATATATCTTTTAGTGATATTAATGGTATTGCATTTTTTATATAATCTACTGTACCTGTGAAAAACTTATTAATAGCATAGGTCATTATAGACAAATTTTGCGAATGGTATGTCCGTACATGCTGTGTTCACTGTAAATTTAGTTTATTGATTGTATTTACACATAAGTGGATCCACAAGTGCTTAGTCACCAAGGAGTCAAGTACTAAATCTTAGCCTTTTCATTTGCTTATCCTATTCCATGATTTTTGGAAATGATATTATTTGTTTTTTATTGCTATTAGAATTGTTAATGATTTTATGATATTCATAATGTCAGTAATAATAGTCACAGTATCAATACTGATAGTATTAGCAAAAAAGATCCTGAAAGCTCAAGGGAAGGGGAAACCAGGTGAGGTTTCATAGAGCTATTAATGACTCCTTGGTAGCTGAGCCCTTTCCATTTATGTGTAAAGTCAATGCAGAAAACAAAACTACAGTGGACATTACCTGTTCTTGGCAGGAATGGGTTAATACCCCCTCCCCCCTCCCTTCAGACTATTCAATACTGCTACAAGTTAAAAGGCCAGAATGCATAAAACTTAATCAGCATTATTATTTTGATTTTTTATTGATTTAGATATAGGAAACAAGAATATAGTAATAATTTTTGAAATGCAAATCATTTATGTTTTCGTTATCAACTGTTTGAAGAAAAGGAAAATCCCAAAATGGAGAAAGGATCACATATGTAGATTTGTGTACTTTGGATCTTTGGTCTTCTAATCATAGGCTTGGTCATCATGAACTTAATGTAGGATGTGACTTGTTTTTTTTTCATATGTTTTTGTTTAAATAGAGCTATTGCATGCTTTTATATTGCTTCCAAGGCAAACTATGAGTGCCTTTGCTGGAAGCTACAATAAGATCTAATGCATTCAAGTGTCTGAAGATCACTGCAGATTTTTGTCAGTGCATGTTTTGAAACTTTTTTTTTTTTCTTTTCTTTTCTTTTTTTTTCTTGTGACTTCAGAAAGTATATGCATTTGGTCTTTTTCAATAGATAAGAGAAGCTATATTTCAAATGTTCTTAAGTAGCTTAGTTTTTTTTTTTGCCTTGTCTTTGTTATGCTGAATGCTGTCGCCACGTGCCTGCTCCCTCGTATGATACGATGCGGCTCTGCGTGCGTTTGTGCAACACTCGTGTCTTCAACATCAACAACAATCATCCAACACCTGGGGAATGTCCAAATGGATTCCATTTTTCACTTTTGTTTTGATAAAAAAAAAAAAAAAATGATTATGATCATGACTTATTGTTTTTTACAATTATATGTTACTGAACTGTGTTTGATTTATTTTGGTTTGATTTATATTGCATTATGTTGATCTTGTGAACTGAATGACATCTGTGAATCTGCATTTATGTGTATACCATGCTTATATAAAATGATTTTGATAATCAGAAAACTTAATCACTTCTGGTTGGGTGGCAGCTTGGAGCAACTTGTGACTCGAAGGACACGCCTTCACTCAGAGTCTGAGGCTTCAGCAGACAACTCTGGCAAGAGGGTGGATGGGAGCCGGACCAGAACGGATGTGCGGGACCTAAAGACACCTCAGAACTCTCCAGCACCTTCGACTCTTGCCAGCCCCATCAAGTCACCTCACTACCCAGATCCTGCCAAAGATGACAGTCATATAATGAAATGTAGGTTTATAAACATGGGCATTCTTTAGGGACTAATAATGCGATCATTTGATGCATATTCACCTTACAGAAAAGTAAATACTGTAAATACGTAAATGTAAAAGTAGGAGAGTAAGTATAAGAAAGCCCCTTATTTGATAGACCATTATTTTTTAAAAGAATCCTCATTTATTATCAGTGTTGGAATTTTTCGAAAGATGTATTATTTGATAAATATATTTTGATCAAATTGAAATTATTTTGTGGCCAGTAGATTGTTAAAGTTTTACAGGTATGCTTTATGTTTGTATCTTTTGCTTTATATCCTGTGGTACTGTAAAAGGCATTGAGTTCTGTTTAGCTTAATGGAAAAACTTTTAGTTTGTGCCCAATTAGGTCTAACCTAAGGGGCAGTCCTAGTTTTTTATGATTTTTTTTTTTTTCTTTTCTTTCTTTTATCAAATTTGAAGCCTTTTCACCTTTTAGGACATGTATTAGGATATTGTATATTACATTTGGGTATCAAATACTGTTACAAACATAATTTTCTGAAATTTGATAATCTTTGAATTGGTGTGTCGGAAAAGTAAAATTGCAAGCTTTATTTTGACTGATATTGCCCCTCTCCTCTCAAAATTAGTTTTGCCATGTAACTGTAACCTTAGTATTTATTTATAGCTTTGTCTCTCTATCATATGATCATTATCTTTTCCTAAATAATAATTTTTTCTTGGATTTCAGCTACTCTTTCAGTACCAAAGTCTCCACGCACCCCTACTCTAGCTGGTTCAATGGGTCACAATGTGCAGCATCGCTTCATAAAGACGATCAAGTCTGCCACTTGTGGTTACTGTCATCACAAGTTTGCTATTTTAGGAGGTAAGCGTTACTAAAACTATTGATGGGTGAAGTATTACTTGGTTTATATAATTACTAAGAATGATTAGGACATAGAACAATGCATATTAATTTGAACTTGTTATCAACAGGTCTGAAATGCAAGGAGTGCAGCTACAAATGTCATCGTGAATGTGAGCCAAAAGTGCCACCTTCCTGTGGATTGCCACAAGAGTTGCTCATATTATTTGCTGATGTAAGCAAGTATTCCCTTCAAAAAAAAATTGTTGCCGAATTTATTATTGTGGATGAAGTATATGTACTTTAAAGTATACATACTTAGGAAGTTGTTGATGTATATTTTGGCCCAACAGACTTGGAAGAAGGTTGGTATGGATGGAAGTGGTGGGCTGCACAGAGGAGGCACTCCTGGAGTCTCTCCTTCTCACCATCATCCAAATGATGTCTTCTCTCCTCTACGGGTCGGCCAGATGTCCAACTCTCAGCCGTCCATTAGCATACCATCCTTCCAGGTTGGTTAACTAAGTTGGCGTACTATGAAGTATATCAGTGACCTCCTTATCTTTGTTGTAATATTCTCATCATCATCCAAATGACGTGAAAATTCTAAAACCTTACTAAGTCTTGAACTTAAGTAATGGAATGTGCTGTTGCCTCTCCCTCACATATTCCTTCTCCCTCTCCATCTTCTTTCCCCAATCTCTCTCTCCTTTTCCCTCTTCCTCCCCTTTTTCTTGTTCTCTCCTTTTCCCTCTCCTTTCCCTTTTTTTTCTTTTCCTTCTCTTCCCTTGTCCTCTCTCTTTCTTTTTCCCTCTTCCTCCCCTTTTCCCTCTCCCTCCCCTTTTCCCTCTCTCTCTCCTTGCTCCACTCCTCTTATTACCTCACCTTCTCCTTTTCCCTCCCTCCCTTCCCCTCTGCCTGTCTTCTCCCACTGCCTTTTCTACTCCCTCAGCCACACACTCACCCTCGCCCTCCCCATCTCCCCATTTCTGTCTCCCTCTTCCTCCCCCCCTTTCTAGATGAACATTTAACAGTGATTGAGTGTAACCAGTTTCATTGTCTTGCAGGACCCCAATTCCAGTTCGAACACATCCAGCTGCAACTCCTCAACCCCCTCCAGCCCAGCCCTCATCATTTCTGCCTCTCCTGCAAGGCATGATGCATTCCATTTTCCAAGTAAGTATGGCTTCTTTGATTATGATAATAATAAAAAAATATATATAAATTATTTTTATGCCAAATAAAGTATTAGATATTGATGTTCGTAATGACCAAGTTTGAGGACTGACCTTAACTTAATAACCTGTGTTCCCTCAGCCACTCGAGGATTCCATTTCCCAGGTTAGTCATCTTGTTACCTGAGGAATTTGTAAGTCTCATTCACAAAGTAGAGTAAATGTATCATGAAGCACAGCTTTGGCTTATAATGTATGCTGAATGAAGTGTAAGTTGTTGTAGTTAGTCAGATTAACACCTTGCCAAAGGTAAAATTGTCAGAGTTAGAGTCATAGCTTTAAAGGAGTTGCTGTTGCTTCTGCTATTTATATTTTGTTGTATTTTAGAAAGAAATGATTTTATATGTTGGTCATAGTATAGATTAAAGTTGGTTTTACTAATGCTGAAATGTTGTGATATAATGATGATTGGTATAAATAAATTGTTTAGATGATTTGAAAGTAATTTGTATAAGAAGAATTGTATGTAGTTCTGTTAGTAGTATAGATTCTTTTTTATCACAGGCAAAGCAAGGGGTAAGTTTGCATCTACAATTTTTGTTTGAATAGTGCAGCACTTAATCCACATTAATTACTAGATTATTTGGTGCAGTGTGGACTTCTAATTTAAAGTAAATTACAGAAGTGGTGTTTACAGTCATGTGATAATCAGCTATTAAGATTCTAATTTGAAAGGTTTACCACTAATTGTAGGTATAAGGCACACTAGAGAATAAATTCATGAAAAAATATGGCACTTTAAAAAGATTCAGAGTCACATATAGTTACCTATAAACAGATAAGTTAGGTGGTAGACATATGTTTTAACATACAAGCATAAAACTTGGAAATGTTAAACAATTTTGCTTATGAAATTTGTGAAAATCAGTCAAGTAATATATTAAACCAGATTTTTACAGTGTAGTTAGTTACATATTTTTTGTCTTTTTAAGTTATAAATAAATGATGTTTGGGATTACATTTATGTATTACCAGAGGTGAATGAGGACTGTGGGGACATTCCCCTGGATATGCGGCTTATTTCACCCCGACCCCCTACCAAGGCCTCTATATCAGCTTCCTCCACCCAAAGTGATGTGATAGACTCAAGACAGTCTCATGATTCTGACCGCACTGTGTCACAAACCTCAGGGTATGTGCCTTTTATTACTGAAATGGAATTGAATTAAAAATGATCTGCTGTGATATGTTAGTTACTCTTAATTGGCTTCCTTTGTAGTTTTTGAGTCTTGTAATGAGATGGAAATAAAAGATTTATCAAATCCTCTTTCTAGAAGTAATAACATTGACTTTCTCAATAGGTCTGGCAGTACTGGCACTGATGATTCTGAGCGCACAATAGCAGGTCGTGTAGATTCGCAAGATTCCACAGTATCTGATGGAGAAAATGCTGATCCGCGATGTACTCGTCAGAACAGTGTCAGTAGTGTGTCCCAGTCTCTCCGAGAATGGGATATTCCCTATGATGATCTTGATAGAGGAGAAGTCATTGGACGAGGAAGATTTGGCATCGTATATTCAGGAAATTGGCATGGACAAGTGGCTATAAAAGAGTTGCGAATGGACTATGTCAATGATGAGAAAACTCTTGAAGCATTTAAGGCAGAGGTGAAGGATGAAAAAGAATTTAGTTATTTGATATTGTAATATAGTTTCATCATTGCATTTTTAATAGCAGGATTGTTTTAATTTACAAAGAGAAAAGAAAAAAGTCAATCCAATATTAGGCAATACTAGACATACATGTGTTTAATGGGAACATATTCTCTACCACTCAACAGGTGAGCACTTTCCGCAAGACCCGGCACGAGAATTTGGTCCTGTTCATGGGTGCATGTATGAAGCCCCCAAGACTGGCCATAGTGACAAGCCTATGCAAGGGCATGACACTCTACAAACACATTCATGTACTGAAAGACAAATTCAATATGTCACGCACCATCTTGATTGCTCAGCAAATTTCACAGGTAATTTCCTTAACAATCAGTATCTTGTTAGATATGGTTGTTGTTTGTCAGGGTTCGTTTTAAGAATCACAGCAGTCATGTCAACGGAAACACAGCAGAGGAAGCATGTAGCAGGAATTACTTGCAGGGTACTATATACACAAAACAGAGCAGGATAAATACAAGCAGTAGACAGAGTATCCAAGGGAGCAGGTGAGGTTATGGGGAAAAGAAAGTACACAAGTATAAGGTCATGGGATAACTACTGAATTTTTGGCCAATTCCCCTTTTGAACGTGCTGTTGGTGTGATGGTGCGACACATTTGTTCCTCATGTGTGGTGGCCAGCTGCAGGTGATCTAAGCCTGCCGCACAGTTGAACTGATGCCACCACCTAGGCTCAAGGGAACGTTGGTGAAGGACCAAAGCAATCTTGCAGGTGTAATAGTGTTATTGATGTTCTTGTGCTTTAGTACTATTTAGTAGGTTAGCTGCTCTTTTGTATCATTTTGCTAAAGCTAGACATGATTGAATTTCACACTGGTGATACTATATCTCTCATAACACAAGGTATTTAAAACTTAAAAAAAAACAATTGTGCCAGGGGAATATATTTTTTTCTATATGATTTTGAAATCTAATTCCTGTTACAATTACACTAAATTCATATATTAACCCATTGCTCCCATGACCTTGACGTGGGCTTGCTTTTCTAAGGCAGCCATCATCTGGTGATTGAGTCTTTGTTTGCCATGCATCCCTGTTCTTAATGTCTTTTTTTTTATATAAATGCATGATAAAATCAAAAATTTCAGTCAGCTTTGGAAAGCTGTATCTCTGCATGAGGATGTGCAGTTTAATGTGCCTTGAAAGGCTTAATTGAAACAGTGTCTAGACAACTTTAAGTGTCAACTATTTGCTGACACCAGAAGAAAGAGTGTGACTTAAGATTTGCAAAATTCCCATCCTTAAGATCTTTACCCTTACTCATTTGAGGGCTTTTATTCTTAAATACCCTTTTTGTTGTTTAGTTTTGCATCAACAGAAGATAATTGATATTCCTTTTTCAGGGTATGGGCTACCTCCATGCCAGGGGCATCGTTCACAAGGACCTTAAGACCAAGAATATATTCCTGGAGAGTGGCAAGGTTGTCATCACAGACTTTGGTCTCTTCAATGTTACGAGACTCTGTCATGATAGCAGGTTTGTTGTTATTGTCCTTTACTCCATAGAAGCTGTCATGTTCCAGGGGACTATTACAGGGGACTATCAGAGATAATGATTGGTACCTTACAGTAGAAAGTTGGTAATTAGTTCTCAAATTAGGTATAGATACTGGTAAAGTAGAGACTAATAAGGGAGTTGATAATTGATAGGTATACTCCTTACAGTAGAAAAGTTGGTAATATTAATTCTCAATTACAGGTATAGACCTTGTAAATTTTTTAGATTAAAAAAATCATCGTGTTTCAATTAAATTAGCTATTTATATATGATATTTGTTACATAAATGGTGGATTTACAGAATAACTTACCCCATTTTAATATCGATTTATTTATTTAATGATGACTTCCTTCATTGTTAAAATTAAATCGTTTATCAATATTGTTAGGAACACTTTTTATCATTAAGAAGAAGTAAATAAACAATTATATGTGAGCTAATGAGAGGTAAAATAATAATAGCAAAACCAATTATCAGCTTTGGCAACAGCAACCATCCCCCGTTAGATGCACTGTGTGTTTAAGGATTAAATCACTATGCACTTTATAGTACTCTCGTGATGTGGATTAATACATTCAACTGATTTATAGCTTCTGCCTTGTTTTCTCCTTCTAGTTGGGATACAAATGGGTAACCATGCAATAATACATCAGTAAGGGAACCCTATAAATATATCCCCCCCCCCCCCTCCCTTTATACTACACACTTTATAAAGATCCAGTTATAATGAATTTTGTTTATTTGGTTGTTCAGTACAAACTGGTTAAAGTATTCCCTCCTCTCTCCCCCGAGGTCAAGGAACTTGCGTGTGATACAGAAACATCAACATGGCCTTCCTTTCACCAATCTCATCAGTTTATTGTTTCCGGGTAGTCCTTTTTTTATTTTAAAAGTCATCCTGGGTCTTTACTACATTTTTAGGGAGATAAAATGTCTGTTGCTATATATAGGTCGAGAAAAGGAACATATTCTGAAGGGATTTTAACAATGCATTAGTTTATTTCATTGACCTAGGCACAAATTGTAAGATCCTTAACTACTATTTAATAACAGTCTAACTTCGTGCTGCAGTAATAAAATATTGTGAATGGCACATATAGATGCTCGCTAATGCTATCAATATTGAAGCTCTCATATTGAAGCAGTGTTACCTATATATAATGGTATTTGCTTGCAAGTAAATACATATAATATACAGTATATATATAGATACTATACTCATATATAATATATACTATACATATATATATATAATATATATATATATATATATATATATATATATATATATATATAATATATATATATATATATATATATATATATATATATATATATATATATATATATATATATATATATATATATATATAATATATATATATCTTTTGGTAAATCAAGGATAAGGGGAAACAGGTGAGACAGGTATTACTAGTAATTGACTCATTGGTGACTAAGTACTTTTGGAGACCTGTTTGTCTAAAGAGAATTAAATAAGCTAGATTCACTGTGGACCTATGTGCCATGTATTGGTAAAGTGAAATGATTTTTTTTTTTTTTACTGTTGGAATTAGCAAGATGTTTCAGTATGAGTTTAAGAATATACTCTCTTTATACCTTGAATTCATGTGCAGAATATAATTATGGTCATTGGTATAGAAAATTATGTTAGATAATTCTAAAACATGAATTCCTCAAGTACTGCAGACATTTCTTCTTGATTTACGGTAGCAAAAAATAAGATGGGTATATTTTCTTTCCAGTACTGTGTGGTATGAATTATTATGTGGTGAATGGCCCCATAAAGGCCTTCCTCCAGAGGCCATAATATGGCAGGTTGGACGTGGAATGAAGCCTTCACTGGCACACCTACAGGCTTCACGGGATGTTAAGGTAAGAACTTTGTAGGTTGTGATGGTATTAGATTTTAAGTATTTAGTTGGACACTTGCACTTTACAGAAGAAGGAATTTGATATCTGCTTATTTGTTTGTGGAAAGATAAGGAATAAATACAAGGAAGTTTATGATTTTATAGCAAAATGAACTTACATACTATTGATACAAACTAAAGTGGCCAGCTGCTTAGAATGACAAAATATTAAATTTCTAAGTATATATAATATATTAAAACAGTTGCATTAAAAGTAAAACCAACTCAATCCTTTTGCCCCTAGATATATGAATAGGTTATGTTGAATGTCTAACCCTCTACCTGTGGATGGTTTGTTTGTTATACAATGCTGTAAATGACCATCTGGGTAGGGAGACAGACTGTTATCTTGGTCCAATCACAGTTTATAGCCCTTCTGTGATGTGGACTTTTCACCAAGGTGGCTGGATACATATACAGAATATAGACTCAAAACTAGCACTAAGGCCATTTTTTATTTCATACATGTCTGTATCAGTCGCAAACCAGGATCTTGTTGGTACATATGTGGCATGAAATCGTGCTGGTAACCCACACTTGGCATATTGCAATATATTTATGTGCTGCCCCAGAGTTCAGAACTTTTGACGTATTTAGCTGGCCTGGAGGCACTGGATTAATAGTAATTATAGTAGGAAATGTCCTTTAACATATAAGCATTATTATTGCTGTTATTATTGTTGATTAATTTATATATATACATATTTGTTTCATTTTTGTGTGTGTTTCTGTTTGCGTGTGCATAGGTGTGTGAATGTGTGCTTGCGTATGTGCATGTGTGTTTGTGTTTATTTGTTTTGAATTTTATTGTTGCATTCTTCATTTCCTGATTTTGCCATCCCATAGGACATACTCATGGCCTGCTGGAGTTACCGGCCGGATGAAAGGCCCGAGTTCTCCACCATGTTGAACAGCTTGACAAGGCTTCCTAAGAAGCGGCTCCACCGCTCCCCTTCCCATCCTATCCACCTCTCACGTTCTGCAGAGAGCGTCTTGTAGACATCAGATTTCAAGTCGCGAAGACATGATGCAACTGTGGTCGAATTTGGAGAGTAAGTCACCTTGTGCTGCAATATTCAGGCTGTTATTTTTTATTGATGTGTTTCTTATTTTCCTTGTTATCTTACTTTGTTCCAATGAATTTTAAAGCAGCCAAAAGTGAAAGCAGCAAGTGTGCACAACACTGATTTGGGATTGGATGGTGTTAGGATAAGCATTTTTCCAAATGTGTTTGTCCTTAGAGAACATGCAGATAGGATGTAGAAGCACAAACCTTCTGCAGTTTTTACTACTAGTGGTGGGTGACAAAAGTGTCACTTTTGTTTTCTGTTAGAAAATTAGATTTCGTGCTCAATTTTGCTCTGCAATTTTGCTGCTTACTACTTTGTTTGTAAAATCTGTATAATGAATCTTGAAAGTAAGACTAAAAAGGGAAGAAATGAAAAACTGTAATAAGTATGTAATATGTATTTTTTCTCATACTAATGGAAATTCTGTTAAATTGGGAAGATAGTATCATGTTATTTATTCATAATGTACTTTAAAAGAACCCTCCCAGTACAAGAATGCTTGGTATCAACACAGAGTAAGCATGTATTCTTGATAATGTAGTCTATTATATGAATCCTTTCTATTCAAGCTGTTTAGTCTAAATTATAGTGTTGTTTTAATTTATTGATGGAAACTTGAATATGAAATTAATATGCATGCATTAGAATGAAACAAAAATATTTATAAGGAATATGAAGCAGTCGGGTAGTGACTGAGATCAGAAAGTTTAAAACTAGGAAGAAGTCTTTGTAAAATGGTTTCCAGATTGAAACAACTTTAAACTTACTAGTTAATAATACAAGTCCAACATTTTCTAGTCAGCCAATGTACACTAGAGAGTTTCCTGCAGTAGATCAAGCTATATTTATACATTTTTTGATAAGCACTCATGGACCTTGCGCAGGACTTCAGTGAGGTAATTATTTGTGTTGTGAAGTAGAAGTAGAACAGATTCTGAAACACCAATAGGCAAGTTGTGGTAAAACAGATAAAGAGATGAAGAACATTCACAGGGCATTGAGCACTTCACCATTTAATTGTCCCGAGTGTGTCACTACAGCGTTTCAGAATTTGGCCAAATGTACTTTGTCAAGACCTGCAATATGTTGATGATTGCTTGTCATATAATGTATGTGATGAAAGGAGTTGTACTCCAGTTTAATTTTGATTGACCTTGAAGAACCAGTGGGTGGATAGACTTAATTGGTCTACACAAGATGGAAAATCCATAGGCCAGTCAGCAGTAATGTTGACATTATTTTGAGCATTTATCTTGTATGAATTGACTATGAAGTTTGTTTTGCCATCAGAGATGCCCCACTTGAGAACTATTAACTTGTCAAGAAAATTATGTCAATTATGCATATGATTGGCACTGTCTATGAAGGAGCAGACGGAGATACTACCAAGACAGTGGGCAAGGTCACCAAGCCATGGCCAGTAGAAGTCATGACAAGAGGCCAAACTTTCTTGTCTGGTAAAACTCAGTTGATTTGTAGTGTTCCAAATGCAACAGAGTCCACCAACATCAGTGGTCTGCATCCAAAGATCCATTAATATCTTGATAAATAAAGAAAAATTACATGTCAATTGTATTTCAGTGTAAATGCACAGCACCTTATTAAGCATTGTCAATGCTGTTACAATATTGTTTAGTTTCATTTTATTATTTGTAAATGCAATATGTTTAACAAGTGATAGAGTTTGAATTCAAGTCATTATGATAAGCGTTATTGATAAATTAGCCTCTAAATGGCTACTGAAACTATTTATGCACTCTTCAAAGTCCAGTTTTCGCTGTGTTATTGTCCTGTTTGTAATATTTGTAATACAGTTGAATCTTGGTAATTTCATCTACTGATTTATATACTGTTTATTCATTCCAACCTGTATTTTCCTTACAGAAGCTTTGGATGAAGAATGTATTGAGTGATTGTATTGCTTTACAGTTTGTTGCCACAGATCCACAGTTGGAGTTACCAAGTTTTTCCTGTACTTGTATGCTCTTCTATCTTAGTGTTTTCATATGCATCATGTGCTTTTTTGGTGGAGACTGATGAACAGTTTTCCTTCATGACACTTTCATTCAGGATGTGTTCTAAAGGATCCACTAAAGTATTATTACATTATATTTGCAAGTCGATGTTTACTTTAGCATTTCAACTGCACATTTTCTCTTCCTCTCCAGTCCTCCTCCAAGCCATTCTCCCCTCCAAAAGCCTTTCTATTTCTGTACTTAGAATAGCACCCTTCATCCCCATTTCCCAGTAACTATAATTGTAGGACCACCACAGCCTTCTCTGACCCCTTCATCTTTGGTCCTTGTCAGAAGCTCAAGGCTAATACCTTGTACCAGTATACCTTGTTCCATCCTATACCTCTGTCCTGACCTCATGACCTCAAATACATGTTCATTTTCTCTTCTTTTTCCAGGTTAATTGATAACACAAATGGATACTTATTTGTTAGATGTTTTTCTTAGTTTACTGACGCAAGCTTGAGGATAGTTGTGAACCAGATCTTGTTTATAGTATACATGAAACCAGTGGATGACAGATCTGATTGACATCCATCTCTAAACTTGTAATCCTGACATCAAAAGAAAACAGAACTTGTATATTGCAGGTTTCTGTTGATATTCTACATCATAACATGTTTGTGGAAATGTTTATGTACTTTCCCATTGAGAAGTTCAGACTGTATTAACCTGGCTATTGAAGTTTATCTCTTCATAAGATATTTCACGTTCCATTTGATTTCATGAGTTATAATTTGTATTTAAAAAAGTGCTGTCTCAAAGGGTCCAGGCTGGATTTTTTTTATGCCATTCTTCACATTTATTTCCTCAGATGTTTTTACCCTTGAGTCCTTAACCAAGACACGGGTTCCTCATTCACGGGCTCCTCATTAGGTAGGGTTGTTGCTGTATCCTTGTTGCTGCTCGGTGTTTTATATGCCAAGCTTTTTTCTTGTAGTAGGTGTTTATGTATGTGTGGAGTCTGTCTTCAGCTTTTTCTCTTAAAGATGATGGTGCAGGAGAGACTCTAGGGAACAAATTTTGTGTTGGTATCAGGTTTAAGGTTTCCACCTTATCTGTGCAGATAGGAGTGTGGAACTTTCCTTCCTGACCACCATAACTGTTTCTGTGTGACTTGTCCTGCTGTCTAGTTTTGACTGTTGAAGGCTGTATTGCCTGGAGTAGTTGACAAAGGGGCTTGGCATCAAAAGTAATCTTATGTTCTCTTCTCTTCAAGCTTGGTGAAACCCTCAAAGTGTTCCCCCAATTCTCTTTGAGGGCTCTACTAACATAATAAAAGCCCCAGATGCACTGGTTAACTGAGGTAATCCCCCACCTCACTGAATCATTGTACCTGGGCTATGTCTCCTAGCTATAAACTGTAATTTATTTTGTGACTTTGTACCTGTGATTTTGGGTATAATACATACTATATGTTGGTTGTTTTAAACTACTATTATTATTATTGTTATTATTATTATTATTATTATTATTATTATTATTATTATTATTATTATTATTATCATTATTATTATTATCATTATTATCATTATTATCATTATTGTTATTATTATCATTATTATTATTATTATTATTATTATTATTATTATTATTATTATTATTATATTGTTATTATTATTGTGATATTTATTATTATTATTATTGATTGTTTCTGATGATAATGATTTGTTATTATTATTGTTATTATTATGATGATGATGATCATAATGATCATCATCATCATGATGGACATGATTGATAGTATTATTTTATTATTGCTGGGAATTTTGTCATTATTGATATGTATTAATTTTTTTAGGATAGTTACTAGTTACTTAATGATGGATAATGTTAGTTATTATTATTAGTAAATATATTATTTTTATTATCAAATATTATTTATTGTTATCATCCCATTATAGTGGTTGTCATTGTCATTTTTCTCTTATTGTAGCATTCAACAGGTTCTTTATGTCTTGTTAGTTTGCAATAGACATTTATGACACTTTGTTTTTGTGTGAAGTAATCTTTCATTTTTTTGTCTTTATCTCTCTTATCTTTTATCTTTTCATCTTCAACTTCTGTTCTAGTATTGTGCTGTTGATATGTATTTTCCATATATCTTGTATTTCTGTATTTGTTATACCTGAATATAATTTACTTTAAATTTATTAATTTATTTTTCTTGTATTTTCCATCTAGTGCCCCTTCTAGCAGATGTCAGGTTCCCTTACAGCCCATCCCCCCTCACCTCCATCCGTAAACACATAGGAATCCCAGGTGGCGGGAGTGATGTTACCCCTGGAGTGGCTTGCCCTGACAGCCTCCCCCCTTTTAGGGTTTGCCTCTTGACCAAGGGTTTAGCTGTTAAGAGCTTCGAGGTCCAGGCTTCAGTCCTCAACGTGTGTCCTCATGAGACAATATTTCTTCTCATTTTTTTTTCTTCTTGGTTTTCTTTTTTCTATTTTTTTCCTTTTTTACTATTATCACTGGTTTATATAATGTGTATCTCTAGATTTACAGTTCATTAATATTATGTATAATACTTAATTTATTTGTACATACTGATGTGTCTACCAAATATAGTTTGTATATATTATGCATTAATACATAAGTCTTTTTATCATAATTTTGGCCTATCATAAACCTTGAATAAACTAGATTTATAGCCTTGCTTCATATGTAAAATTACCTTTTTATGGTACATTTTACACACAAATATGCTTCAGAGATATTATGTACATTGAAATTGACATGGTTAGCAGTTACTTACCCTGAAATTGATAATCAAATTTGATTGATGTGGAAATGACTCCAATACAAAAAAGTGTCTGAAGAAAACAAGAATTGCCATCAGGAGAAGAAAATAAAAGACCTCTCAAAAAGACTGATATACCATATAGGATTATGATGGATTAGAACAATGGATTTTATGGTAGAAAAAATATAACTGAATGGGAGTAGTTATAGCTTATGTCAGTATTGCATAGTACAATATCTGTGTGAAGTAATGCTTCTTTTGATCTATTGGTAAATGCATAAGGTTTTTAATCAAAGTTCTGACATTTCCAGTCTCATACACTACCCTATTTCCCAAGAAATGCTGGATTGGTATATTACATTAAAAAAAAGGACTCATAGACTGAGTAGTGGTTATTATCAAAGAGCATTACACTGACAAATAGTTTCAATACTATTATTCAGATTATTCAGGTGCATACTTAGTTTATTCATTGTACATCCTATAGTTGCTTTATTAGTAAAATATGCAGTGCTTTCCTTACTATAGGTACTGGGCACTAAAGTGACAAAACCCATGACCTTGTATCAAAACTAAGTAGATGATTGGTTCATATAGTATTTTTACTCTCTCTAGAGTTTATAATCAGGCATGAGTATTAAAATCTGTAACTACATTGAAAATTAAATGAACTGAAGTTTTATTTTTTTAGCAGACATAAATTAAACCGAAACAAAAGACAACAAACACAGCACAGTACACAGCAATGTTGTACAGGTTAGATATATCCCAAATCATTAAGTGACTGATAAAACTCTGTACCAAAGACCAGCTCTACTCTACTCTACTTATCTCTGCTGTGACTCTGCTTTACACTGCCGAAAGCACACTCGTTAGCAATTCATCATATAATGCTCACAAACATCGGTTACTTTTATCAGCAGCAGTAGGAGAGTATAGAAATTGCAAGAGAGAGAGAGAGAGAGAGAGAGAGAGAGAGAGAGAGAGAGAGAGAGAGAGAGAGAGAGAGAGAAAGAGAAGAGAGAAAGAGAAGAGAAAGAGAAAGAGAAAGAGAGAGAAAGAGAAAGAAAGAGAAGAGAAAGAGAAAGAGAGAGAGAGAGAGAGAGAGAGAGAGAGAGAGAGAGAGAGAGAGAGAGAGAGAGAGAGAGAGAGAGAGAGAGAGAGAGAGAGATTATATATTATATATATATATATTATATTATATATATTATATATATATATATATATATATATATATATATATATATATATATATGTATACACATGCACATGCACATGCACACACACACACACACACACACACACACACACACACACACACACACACACACACACACACACACACACACACACACAACACACACACATACATATACATATACATATACACACACACATATACATATACATATACATATACACACACACACACACACACACACACATATATATACATATATATATATATATATATATATATATATATATATATATATATATATATATATATATATATTATATATATTATATATAATATATATATATATATATATATATATATATAATATATATATATATTATTATATAATATATATATATATATATATATATATATATATATATATAATATATATAATATATATATATATATTATATATATATATATATAATATATATATATATATATATATATATATATATATATATATATATTGTGTGTGTATGTGTGTGTATGTATATGTATATGTATGTTTGTGTGTGTGTGTGTATGTATATGTATATGTATGTATATGTATATATGTGTGTGTGTGT